TTACACCACCCTGTTCCAGAATTCCACACTATTTGCAATGAAAACTATAACAATTCAGCTCAGTACCGAAATAGTGAAACCACGATGCCAACACGATACATCTCACCCAGACGCAGGCAAATCAGCTCAGTACCATAGCTCTGATGTTACACCACCGTGTTCCAGAATTCCACACCATTTGCGATGAAACCAACAAATTCAGCTAAGTACCTTCTTCTCCTCGTTTTCACACATCATCGTCTTTCTCCGGACTTATCTGTCACTTTTGATCTTCTTCACACTTGTTTATTCAGCAACTTTTCTTCAAAAATATCATTCCTGTGAATTTTTGCAATTGTTGTATCTGTATATGTCATCTTTCAATTTTCTGCTTATCCTACTTGACGCTGCTATGACATCACCTTTTTCGCTCTCTCGGGCCAACCGTCGTCTAGTTGTTCAGCAGAGTCTATTAGGATTTGTGCATGAATTTCATACTGACAGAGACATTGCTGTTGACTTCTTTTACAACCATTGTGTTCCGAACAGCGGAACTGTCTAGGTTTGGTCAGCTTTCCTTGCTGCTCCACAGGCGCTGCAATTGCTGTCCATGCATCTCTCTCTTCAGCAGGTACTCGAGCCAGGAAAGCTTTTGTTCGTCATGGACTTGGCTGGTATGAAAGGAGTCGTGATCAACAATTTTAACAGCGAAAGAAAAATAGACCGCCAACAATGGATCAAGACCTGCGATGGTCAACAGGCCCCCTCGTGCAGCTCCTGCAGGACCCTTGCCCAACACTGGCCACCCCTTTTGAGTGCGCGTGTTGTGTCAACGGTGCCAGGCCATTGTTTGCCCACGGGTTCCTGTGGTGACCTTATTGCGGCTGGGAGTCGCTGAGAAGTCACAGAGGGGCTTTGCGCTCTTGCAAACTATGCAAACTATACTCATGGCAGCATTCCAGATGCTGATCAAGTCCTGGACCCAAAGATGATAGAATCGAAGTTCACTTCGGTACTAGCTTCAAGGTGGGCTGAACATGCTGGTACGATGAATGGCCTGGCTGCGATAGCTTTGTTGGAAGAGGAGTACATCGCTGGAAGCGGCTCCCCCATGGATGACGACGTTCCAGGACCCTTACCCAATGAACCATCCATCAGTGTGGACTGGCAGCTCCCTATGACTACAAATGGGCAGGAGTTGTTCTTTGCTCGCGTCAGAGCAACATTTGACAAGTGTACAGCGACAATCCCTGTGGGGCAGAAGAAGAAGTATCGCCACTCGAGCGAAGAACTTTTGAAGATTCGCAACATTTGCTGCTTCTTTGACCAGCTCAGCGGCCACTTGCAGACGCGAATGTTTGTTGATCAGCATCAGGCTTGAGTTCACGATGTTCGCACCGGTTCCAAGCGCGATGAAGATTTGCAAACGCTGATCCTGTTGCGACCTGCTCGGTTTGTCGATGCTTCCTTCAGAACAGGAGGCTGCCAAGGTCACCATGCGAGAAGCTGAACAAAGAAAGGGAAACTTTCCCGACCTCGGTGACTGGCGACACAGCCATCCAACCGGACTTCCATGGTTGAGGCTAGCCTCCCATCTGTGCATGCTACCAAGGATGATGTCGCCCAGAATAAAGGAAGAAAGGTCAATTGCTTTGCATGGTGCCATGATGTGACGCTGTAGCGTGTAGTGGAGTGCATGGGTGGATGATCCGTCAGTGCCGAGATGATTCTGCAGGTGGTTTCGCTTGGATCCGAGAATCATGGGGTTTGGTCGCATCGTACGCTCCAAAATGCATCACATGGGCCCAGAACACCCATGCCACAAAATCACCTTGTTTTGGATGGAACGTGATAGACACTTCAGGTGGATTCCTGCGTTTTTTTGTCTAAGTCGGCGTTAACTCCTCAGGGTATAGGGTTCCTCACGTTCCGCCCTCCTAATTCTTCAAAATTTCAACACTTGGCAGGTGAGCGCCTCAATTCGTTGCACCTCCGATTCTGCTCCTCGCGTCCCCGCAGAAAACGAGCGATTGCAGAAAGAGAGCGGAAACACCGCATGGAAGGCTGAGCTGGGGAGTTTTGAGAGATAAATAGTCAATTACGAAGAGCACCATAGATTTAGAGATCTGTTGTGTAGCGTTTATAACGTAGACTCTTGATTAAGAAACCCCCAGTGAATCCCCCGATTTCCAACTCAAAGGGGGGTTGTTAGTCAAGGGTCCACATCATATGACAAATTTGCATACTAGCTGATACAGGGATGATTTTTAAACCGGATGTCACACATGGTGTTGCGTGCACCACATGACCAATCCAAGCCTGGGTTGTCAAAATGGCAACCTGGAGTCAATGTCTCAACAAGATTCCATTACCCTCCGTAGACACTCATGGAAGTGGACAAGCCCATGTTTGGTCTTGGGAAAATGGTCCTCCTTACAGGGCTGTGCCATTCACGTTGGCCAATGATTCTTTTAAGGGAGGGTGCATGCTTGTCAAAAAACCTTCGGAGAGAGTTGGTGTTCTTTCAAATCATGCCCCCAATCGAAACAGGCTCCGTTGGAGAATGCCCCTGGCGTGGCCACCGGAGCGCCTCCGAACGCATCGGGCGATGGCCGATCGCAGGTTCGGTTCACCGCGACCCTTCCGACCGTTGGCCGGGGTTGTTGTACAACAACCGGATTCTTCAGACCAGGACCGACTTAAATTCTTCTTGGTGACCGAACTTGAGATCCGAGAGAAAGGGTCACTGACTTAGGCCGGTTTGAAGGCTCACTTATATACGCTAGCTAGGCTCCAACCACCTTCTCAGAAGATAGTTAGACCACCCTAATTGACCCCAACCATCTTCTCAGGAGGTAGGCCTGGAGCCCAAGGGATAGGGACTCTCTATCTATGGAGGTCACATTACTTATAGGACTTGGCACAAACTGAAGGTTTTCTTCGTCATGTTATTTCAGAATTCCCTGGCATGGGGAGTATGTATTTTTTCCCGGCTTCTGAACAAGCAACTCCAGGCAGAGGATCCTGTTCAATCCTGTCTATGTTGCTTCTGCTGTTGTTTCTTCTGGTGACAATTGTTGATGTTGTTGATGATGGCAAGTGGACCTACTCTGAATATGTCAAGTCATCGTACGACAGAAATGAACCTTTGATTTTCGTTGTGACTTCCATCGTTTTTTGCTCGCAGCTTTGAGGCTCTTCACTTTTGAGTAGGTAAACAAGTTGAAAGTGGGAGTAACACAGTGATGGTACAAGACTTATGCTTATCTGAAGTAGTTCCAACACACGTACCCCTCTCACGATTTTCTCTTTGTCTCACAACTTGCTCTCCTTCTCGCCGCAGCTGACTGGCCTGGCTCGGCGTGCGAATTCGACTCTCTTGCGGGTGCAATCGGTTCGACCATGTCCAAGAAATCCACGACAAGTCGAGCCACCGCCATGTCTATCACCGGAGGTGCCGTGACGGGTCACTCCGGTCACGGCCGTGACGGGCCAGGGGGGGTTGGTTGTGGTTTCGACGCAATCCTGCGATATCAGAGCAGAGACTCCGTGAATTGGGGCAACAATGGTTCTCAGGTATCTCAGCAAATGGTGGAGGCCATCGCTATTAGGTTGGAGGCCATCACTCGCTAATAGAAACAAAGAAAACAACATATAATATAGTTTGCTAAGTAGTTTGCTATTGGGTTGGTGATCCCAGACGTCAGAAGATGCCTCTGGCACAGGGTAGAAGACGGAAGAAACCCGAGGATGTGTCCCACGCTGCAGGGTCCTATCCGTATACTTCCAATTCATTGAGTTTCATGTTTTGACTGTTTTGACTTACGTACTCTTCGTGTAGGTAAAGACAGTCATTCTCCAGCTAGAACCTAGGGGGCCAGAAACCAATGAGGAATTATTGTATCTCTTCCAAGATGGTATTTACTCTTCATGTTCGTAGAGTTAACGTTGTTCTGCAAAAAATACCAACCGGAATTGTCGAGTGCCAGAAAGGTTCACCTCTAGGTTTACCGGACAGTCTCTCTCTCGATCTCTCGATCTCTTTCTATATATAATATACTGGCCGCTATATATCATCTTTCACACCACGTGTCACGTGCTGTTAAGTTGCTTGGGGACCGTCGTTCGTTGTTTCGGGGGAATTAGCGCAGAAGAAGTGTTTTTGACCCTTGCGGACCTCTGAAGAATTGGTTGTTCAGAACTAAGAGAGGGTATAAAACACGTCTTGTTTTTTGCGTTGTTAGTGGCAACATACGAGACCCAAAGGACTATTTCATAGGTTTGTTTGTCTCGTGAGTGGTGAGTGAACGGCCATGGTAAAAGCTTTGTAGACGTTGTAAACCTTTGTAAGTTTGTTTGTAATTCAACAACTCTGTCAACTCTTTGCAAAAGTTGCAAACTTTGTACAAAATCTTAAGACTTTGTGAAAGTTTGGTAAACTTTGTATAACTTTGTAAAACAAAAAACTTTGTAAACGTTCTAAAAACTGTGTAAAACGTTGCTCTAACTTTGAAGAATAATTTGAAGAACTCCAAAACTTTGTAAAAGGTTTGTAAACCTTTTTACAAAGTTTGCGAATTTTACAACGTCTTAATAAAGTTTTACCAAGTTCTTACAAAGTTTTACAAGTTTAAAGGTTGACAAAGCCTACAAAGTTTGACAAAGTTTAAAAATGTTTTACAAAGTCTACAAAGTGTTGACAAAGTTTACCAAGTTTATACCAAGTTCACTACGTTTTTACAAGGCTTTCAAAGTTGGTACAAAGTTTACAAAGTTTTACACAGATTTTATGAAGTTTGCAAAGCTTTACAACCGCTTACCAAGTTTACAAAGTTTACAATATTTTAACACAGTTTACAAAGTTTTGAACAATTTCCAAAGTTTACCCAGTTTACAAAGGTTTTACCATTAAAAAATCAATTAAAGACGTATTGAAAGTTTGACAATGTTGCTGCAATGTTGACAAAGTTATTACAAAGTTTACACAGTTTTAAGTATTGAAAGTTTACAAAGCTTGTGCAAAGTTTATATTTTTTTACAAAGATTGCAAATTTTACAATTTTACATGGAGTTTTTTCAAAGTGTACAAACATTTGCAAAGTTTATGCAGTTTACACAGTTTTTGCACAGTACTGAAAGTTTACAACGATTTTAGACAGCTTTGGAATTTGACAAAGTTCTTGCAAAGTTCGGAATTTACACAGTTTTTCAATTTTTACAGAGTCTACAAAGTCTCACAAAGTGCTTACAAAGTTTTCAAAGTTTTTACAAAGTTTACAAAGTTGTACAACGTTTTTACAAAGTTTACAACAGCTTTTTCAAGTTTACAAAGTTTTTACAAAGTTTACAAAGTTTTTACAAAGTTTACAAAGTTTTTCACAGTTTACAAAGTTTTTACACAGTTTACAAGGTTTTTACAAAGTTTTTACAAAGTTTACAAAGTTTACAAAGTTTTTACAGAGTTTACAAAGTTTTTACAAAGTTTACAAATGGCTGGTGAAAAACACTTATGTTTACAACAAATGACATGAAAAACACTTCTTTTTAGGCAAAAAATCGTGCAAAAACACTTCTTTCACAGAACTTTACAAAGTTTTACAAAGTTTTTACAAAGTTTACATAGTTTACACAGTTTTTACAAAGTTTACAAAGTTTTTACAAAGTTTACAACGTTCTGACAAAGTTTGCGACATTTGCCTTTTGTTACACAAATTTACAAAGTTACAAAGTTTGCAAAGTTTTGAAGATTCTGGAAAGTTCACAAAGATTTTGCCAAGTTTACACAGTTTTGCAAAGTTTACAGAGTTTCGACAAAGTTTACAAAGTTTTGACAACGATTACAAAGTTTTGATTGTTTATTTATTTGCAAAGTTTACAAAGTTTCTTTCTACATTTGACAAAGTTTTTACAAAGTTTGTACAGTTTCACAATTTGTACAAAGTTTTGAGGAAATTTACAAAGTGTTCAAAGTTTTCACAACGTTCACAAGGTCTTTCAAAATGTTTACAATGCTTTGACAAAGTTTGCGAAGTTTAAAAACGTTTTACAAAGTTTGCAAAGTGCTACGAAGTTTATAACGGTCTTTTTTTAAATAGAGTTTACGAAGGCCTACAACATCTAAAAGTTGTTTACAAAGTTTACAACATGTTAGTACAAAGTGTACAAAGTTTGCAATGTTTACAAACTTTTTGACAAAGTTCACAAAGTTTTGGCAAAGTTTACAAGTGTTTACAAAGTTTTGACAAAGTTTTCGCATTTTACAATTTTTTACACAAAGTTTTCGCAGTTTTTTACACAGGTTTACAAAGTGTACAAAGTTTTTACAAAGGTTTACGAAGTTTAAAGTGTTTCAGTTTTTAAAAAGTTTACAATTTTAACAACAGTTTACGAAGTTTTGACAAAGTTTGCAATTTTTTCAATCTTTACACAGTTGTTGCAGAGTTTTGAAAGTTTACACAGTTTTAGAATTTCACCAAAGTTTCTACAAAGCTTACACAGCTTTTACAAAGTTTACAAAGTATTTACAAAGTTTACAAAGTTCTTACAAAGTTTACAACGTTTTGCAAAGTTTTCAAGTAATAAAGTTTACACAGTTTTGACACAGATTGAAAAAACGAAACTTTGTAGAAAGTTTGTAAGCATCAAACACTTTTGTAAAAGCTTTGTAAAAACTTTCAAACTCAATAACTTGGTAACAACTTTGTAAAATTCCAAAACTTGTTCAAAGCTTGATAAATGTCCAAAGCTTTGTTCAGATATCTAAAGGTTCAATACTTTGTAAAAACTTCGTAGTTCCAAAGTTTTGTAAAATTCAATGTACTGTAAGTGTCCAAAACTTTGTGAAGTTTGTTTTTTCTATTTTTAAACTTTGTAGACTTTGTTAAAACTTTGTAATGCAAAAACTCGGTAAAAAAAGTTGTAATTCCAAAACTTTGTCAATTTTTTGTAAAGATCCAACACTTTGTAAACAC